CTCTCTCTCTCTCTCTCGCTCTCTCTCTCTCTCTCGCTCTCTCTCTCTCTCGCTCTCTCTCTCTCTCTCGCTCGCTCGCTCTCTCGTTTATCTTTTCTCCCAATTTGCATCCTCTCATCTATCCATCCTCGGACCACTACATCCTTATGGCGGCCTTGATGTTGCAAGATAAGTCTGTCTTCACCTACTCTATTAAACCGGGTCACCGTCACGGCCAAGTTGACGACCCGTTGGTTCTTTCTTAACCTACCACCTACTTACCACTATATGTTTTCACAATCACTATCAGACCAGGCAAGACCCTGCAGGACACGTTGAATGGGCCAAGGCAGTGCCTGACTATCGGGTTCGATTAGGGGACACGGTATGTACGTCCCTAGTTAGGTACTATTGTATGTTACAGAGCACATAGGTATGCCCAGGTGACATGTATAATTCCGTGCAGAGGTATATAGCCGGACCAAAAGCCTGAAAGTACATCACGATCAAGTCAATCGATTTCGTACCTAGCTAGCGCTTTTCTCTCCTTTGCGGGCAGACGTGAGGAAACATAGCATACGTACGTGCCTCGTCGTGTATCGTGTTATCGTGTCCCGTATTAGACAAAAAAAGGTCATGCCTCGTGGATCACCAGCGGTCAAATAGGTTGGGCCTGACAAGCTGGAATACAAATTAATCTCCTCGCATTTCGTCCGGCTCTTTCCTTTCATGTGACCGGCAAATTTGTATCTGATCGTGGAAATGTCACTCAGTCGTTTCCGATCCCAGCCACAGCCTGGCTGTTGCCGTCTAGGAGCTGCTTCACCAAATTCATGTCGAACCAAACCAAACAAAAAAGCCCAAACCCAACAACCGGCATCGTGAAACTTCGTAGCGTCCCAGCCTGATCATATCATAACATTTCATTCCATGCGTGTATTCCTTCCTGGCGTGAACTGGCTGTCATAATGACGAGATTTTGCGACTGAAAATGATAGATAAGTATGTTTTGAGTATTCGATGATGCTGGAAAATTGCTTCATCTCATATGCAATGCGTCGTAACTCCTGACCTGTGGATGGGAATGGTTGAGACTGCGCGTCTGAAGGGCCCCTTTCTTGGTTCTTGCTGTGGGCACTCTCTTGTCCACGGGACTGGTGTGTCGCTAGGGCACGAAAATCCGTGGTTGAAAAAAAGAATCATATGCGTCGATATGGGCCCAACATGGCGAAGGGCCTGACGTTGCGATATCGCAGGAGTCCATGGCGCCTGTCCATGTTCGTATCGGAATGTAAATCCCGACTGTGGCTTCGACAATCTCGACCGTATCCTTCTGGGATATTCAAATCCAAAGGGGGTTTCAGTTGAGGACTCGGGATCAATGATCATGTTGGCAATATGCTCGGGTGAGGAGGTTCTTCGTCTTCCTCGATCTTTGGTGGCATCACAGTTCTCCATGCGTCTCCCTGCCTGCCCGCTCCTGAAGTAGCCCCAGCCAGTTGGTCAGCGCCACCATTAATTGTCTCAGATATTTCGCCATTCTTTGGCTCGGGCTTGTTGACTACTTTGAGCTGAGCTGGCGATTTTGAGCCTTTGTCACTTTGATTTAGAGGTTTGCGAGGTGATACTCGTCCGTTCTGCATTCACAATGCATGTTAGCTGCGTCTCCCGCTTGTCCAATCACGTCCTTGTGTGGTAGGGCTGGAAGTCACTCACCTGTTTGGCCCACCGCAGACCACAGCTGTTACACAAATCACGGTTGCCACTTGGGCCTCGTCTCCATTCTGGTGTGACTCGAGTGTGGCAGTTGGCACAATCCTTTTCGATCTGGCCAAGCCCTTTTCTCCTCTTTCGCTTCTTTTTGCGACTCAGCAATGCTTGAAGCTCCTCAGCCAACAACCGATTTTGACGCTCCATCTGCCTCAGTTCAAACTGCCAACTGGAACTCCGGGTAGTTTTCAGCTCATCGAAGATGTTGTTCTCCGAGGCCAGGGCCTCGTCTTGGTTGCCTAGACTCAGGACGTGGTTGCCTGCCTGCGAAAGCGGGCCGGGATGTTCCGCGAGACTCCTGACAGACCCGTCCAGACGTGATGCTGGAGTTCCAGACCCCGCCGACGCTCGGTCACCCCTTGATGGTGTCGCCGACGCCGACTTCTGACTCAAGAGTGCAGCACGCGTCATCTTTAGGAGGCGAGTCTGCGCAAGCAGGAAGGTGGGCTTGAAACCAAGCCGAGCATCGCCGGGATAGATTGTCGTTTGTGCGTGAAGGACCTGGCCTCTCCGATTCTGAAGGTCATGCCTGAATGTGACCTTCTCGCCAGTTCGTGCGACTTCAAGCATACGTAGGAACTCCTTTTTGGAATCCGGTCTCATCAAAGCCTGTAAACTTGTCCCGACAAGGTCTTCAGGAAGCCGGTCGAGCATGACTCGAGAGGTAGAAGACACATGCAAAAGCATCCCCGATGTTGAGATCTTGGACCATAACTCGCTCTCGCCGAGATTGCCATCTGTCGAGAGCTCGGATCGATCCAAGGCATAGACCGGTCTCTCTCGTCCTGCAAGAATGATAAATTTCCTGCCCTTGCCCTGTTCGATGTATAGAGTCCCGTGGGCCTCAAACCACGTGTACCCACTGAATTTCCTGCGGATCCGATAGACCACGCTCACGGGCTCCCCAGGGGGGGTGTCCTTCAGCTCTCGGGTAACCGGTACAATGTCACTAGGGTGGCAGATCGAGGATAAGCCTACGCCGACAAGTTCACTGGGATCGTACTCTAGGACTCTTCGGCTTGCAGGAGATACGTAAAGGAACAGTCCTTTTAGGGAAAGGACATGCACAACATCGTCGTTGTTTTCCAGCAGGACCTTGTCCCAGACGCGTTTTGACACCTCCGATTCGCCACGCCCGAGAGTGACCAAAAGCCTGGACACTTCGTCCGGAGACACAGTCTGGCCTATGTCGTGCAGCGCCTGAGTTGGATCAGGTGGAGTGGGAAGATGGTAAGCCGGCAGCGAGCTTCGATTGTAGTTGATCTCATAAGTTCCGTCTATTGGACAAGTCAGTAATGCTTTGCCTATACGATTTGCGAGTCTTGGAACCAAGTCCTACCTGGGTTCTTCCCGGACACGGAGCTTGGCTGCTCGACAAGATCGACCTGGAAACCAACGTAAAACTTATAATCTTCAGAGTCAAATCGGATGGGGATCATGGTAAGGAGGTTCATGAATGGTTGTCCGCCTTTTCGATAATTGATCAGACTCAATTGTGCTTCCGCCCTTCTTGAGATTTGGTTCTTCAGATAGAGAACCGAGCTGTCATCGACGTATTTCCGCTTCACTCCCGACTGCACTATTCCATCGGGCGCCTGGAGAAAGCGGCAGTTTCGACCGAGGATTTCATGTTTCGTATATCCTGTCAGACGCTCGAACATTTCTGAACAATAAACGATGGGTAGATCAAATTTCTCAATGTCGCAAACAACAAATGCACAGGATAAGTCAACGGGGCCAATGTTAATTTCGGGTCTTGGTCTCGTGGCAACTCGCATCTATCGCGAGTGTTAACGAAATCCAGGAGCACAATTCCAGGACTTGACTCACAAGAACTCCAAGCATATCAAACCCGCTGGAAGAATAGGCGTTGGCGAACTTGGGATGCTGAAGCTGCCCACCTTGCACTAGCGGCATGTGAGGCAGAGCCGGAGGGTTCATCATCCTTAAGGAGGCACTAACATCTAATGGAAGCGCATCAGTATGGGGGACAGCCAATGCGCGGCTTTTCAAGGTCACGGTACCTTTCGAGGGAAAAGCTATTGGAACATCTACGGATCGTCTTCTGTTCGGAGAGTCCTGTATGTGGATGGGGGAAGCCATTGCGGAGAGAGGAGCTGGTGCAATAGCGGTAATGGGGGTTTGCCTTCGGAGTTGCTGAGAAGTCCCTGGGAAACCTTCGGGCATTGAGGACATGGCTGGGACTATAGTAGCCATGGAATTTGGACCGGGGGGGCTCATCGAACCGCCGCCGGGATCATGGTTGACGGGTTGATAAGGAATCGAGAAGCTTTGCTCTATTGGGGACGCTGAATAGATGGCCTCCTGCATCGGTCCCGATTGCATGGCTGGAGTCCTTGAGCTTCCCGCTAGGTGGTCAAAATCCATCGCCATATCCATATTTGGCGCGATGTATGCGGTGGATGGTTCGAGGGAGACGGAGGTGCTCGGCGCCATAACCGGAGAGAAGTTGACGGGCGGCATCTGGTCGAAATTGGTATTCATTTGAGAGAAACGGGTATTCAAGGACAAGTCTTCCCGCGAACGGACTCGTCGCGGGTCAAGGGATTTCGGCACTGGCATGATACTGGGCGGGCCTATGGTCAGGCCGGGTTCGTGGGGGTTTGGATCGAACTGAAAATTGGCCAAGTCGCTGTCCATGGCCGAAGAAAACTCGAGCATCGAGGCTCTGCGACCGTGGTCGTGTGAGCCCGATCGATACTGGGACTGGAAAGTGTTCCTTCGGCGCATTAGTTCGTCGTTGTTTTGACTGATGATCTGTTGCAGAGTCTGCGCCTGGCCCAAAGCTGAAGTTTCCATGCCACTGGGATCGATGCCGCTCATCGTGTCGTCCTGCGTGTAACCGTCCATGGTCTCTTGTGGATCCGGCCCCGGATAAGGCTGGCCAAAGAAGCTTGAGAAGCCATCCATGATGGATTTCCTCTTTTTCTTTACGCCCTGCTCCAATGGGCCTTGAATACCACGGTGAGTGAGTCGGGATGAGGGGGGGGAGGCAGATGGTGGATGCGGCCGGTGGCGAGGCAAAGCACGGTTAGCCTGGGAAGGACAGGTCAAACGGCAGCAGTGAGAGTGGCCGCTTGCACAACATGCTTGCCGCGAGACTGTCGGATCCAACGTGCGACGAGATAGAGAGTCGAGGTGGCTAAGGTGCGGTAGGAGAGTAGTGCGATGAAAGATGAGGATGCGTCGATGCTGTAGTGTTCACGGTAAGTCGTAGGTTGCCAGGCTTGGGACAATTTCTTAGATGGGGTCAGATGGAGCGCGGGTAGCAGCACACAACGCCTCAGAAGACACAATCAGGACCATCGAACCGTGTACCGTGGGTGGTGGGTGGCCAGTCACCAGCCGCAGACGCAAGCAAGGGTCAGTGCGAGAGAGGGTTTGAGGGGAGGATGAGGAAGAGGAGATTGCCAGTTGGCGGATCTGCGAGCCAGTGGAAGAAAGCCACCAAGCGACCACGGGCCTCTCGCTCGCACCAGAAAATTGTCGGAACCACGAACGCCAGCAGCAACAAGCCGGTGATGGTGAATCTGCATTGCTGGAGCGGCCTCGCTGTGATTAGTGGACGAGGCGAGTTCTGGGGAGATTGCCGGTATGGATTCTAGCTAGGGAACCTTGTAACAAGTACTGGCTTATGTACCAAGTACTTACTGACCAAGTACAAGGAATACTTAAGTACTTACTAGGGGAACCGTTTGGCGGCGACGCCCTGGATAAGGCATTGGCTGGTTGTTGACTCGGGCCCCGTTGAAAGGCTTATCCGTGCCCAGTTAGGGCTGGTGGGCGACCACCGATCGGCACAGACGGCATGAGGAGGCAATAACTAAAGAAAAACCCATTGAGTCCTGCTCGCTGGGCCCGTGAGCCCTTTCGGCAGGTGCGTCGCCCTCTGGGATTGGGGATCACAGTGCTGTCGATCACCCAGCCCTTCCGGACAGGTCCAACCAAATCTAGTTTTGGACTTGTCGTTCTGGTCGCTCTTGCTCGGCGTGGCGGTCGTGGTCAGTCTTGCATTAGCGTTTGGGCCATGGGAATCTGCGCTTTTCCATGCTCAAGGCTGGGGCCTACTTGTAGTGGCCCCCTTAAGCCCCCCATGCGGATCCTGGCCGTGAAAGATGCGCCATGACGTTCTCGAGAAACATGCGCCCGCACTAAATCAAGCCACAACGCCGAGGCGTTTAGGTGCGCGATGCACTCCATATTCGACCAAAAGGGAACAACAATTATCAAAAACATGATCTTGAATTGAAATGGTGTGATTCGAGTGCTTGACATCCTCCGTCGCTGATGGCTTGACTACTAAAGTACACAACTCTGGATTACAACAACAAACCTGTCAGCACTTTTCCGACCTGGGAACCTCGCGGGGCCGATGAAGCCTGAAGCCTGCTTTTCCCGCCCAGCTCGCCCTTGGAAAACAAATGTCTATTTCGTGACACATCACATCGCTGACTGTCGAACCCCAAAGCATGTCCGTCTTAGGATATCGGTCATGAGAGATACGGTGGTGTCGCCCAGCTCGTCAACCAGGATATGCACTGGGCTTGGCCACTAGCGGCGCCATCTTCTCTCGTTGAAGCTTCTCTCTCTCCATTTGCGCTCGGTCGTCTTTCGTAATTCGAGGCTTTCGTGTCATCCCACCTCCTCGAGAACCAGGCCCTCCACCTCTCCCCGAGGTTCTTTCAGAAGTCCCAGCACCTCCTCTTCCGCCGCGAGAACCAGGACCACCACCTCGGCCTCGGCCACGACCTCGCTTGATGGTGCCATCCGCCCTGCAAAGCGTCAATTCAGTGTACCGGGAGACAGTTTCGACGACCAGATAAGTACGTACCTCTCGACCGCCGGTTTTTCGCCCTCTGGTACCAGTGGTCCACAATAGACAAAAAATCCGTCCTTGCTAGCCGCCGCTTGCGCTTCCCAGAGTAATTCGCTGTCGTCAACAAAGGGGTCGTCCTGATCATACTCCTCCACCTTTCTTCGCCGCCGACGTTTTGGCCCCGGGCCGTCGGTCCCGCTGTTAGCTGGCTCTGGTCCGTCATTGAGTCCAGACATTGCTACGTCCCGGTCGTTGTCCGACTCACGCTCAATGTCGACGCTGAGATCTTCATCACCGCTGTCTCCCGCCGATGTGCCTCCAAATTTGCTGCCTGACGCCGACCTTTCCAGCGCAGCCCCAGCAGCGGCAATCTTGGCCAGCCGTTCCTTTTGGGCGGCTTGACGAGGGTACAAGGCCGCAAAGCCGTACTTTTCCTCGGCCATACGGGCAAAGTTGATAACTCGGTTATTAGGGTCTTTCAGGTCGATATGCAGCACGATGTTGGGGCCTTTTTCCGAGCCCTTGGGCATATCACTACTCGAATCACCGCCGAACAAACTGGCCGACAAAAGTCCAGAACCCATTGACGGAGGAGGCGGCTGCTCTTTTGACCGCACCGGCTTCGGAGAGGCGGGGCGAGTGGACGCCTCCGAGGGCGCTTTTCTTGAAGACGTGGATTTTTTGGGCTGAACTTGATCGGGTACGACGCGGTCAACATCCGTTGTTGCATCCGTTGTTGCATCCATCGCCATTGAACTGCCATTTATCCTTGGCGAGTCGACCACCCTGCCATTGGTCTGATCGTAAGGAGGCTCAGCCTTTATATGATGCGTGACAACGGTTGTAGCGGTGGGAAGGTCAGGGTGTGGAGGGTGATCGATTATGTTGGAGATGGTCGGAGATGTGCTTGGATTGTAGGCCGATCTTGGAGGAGTGACGGTAGATTGGGTTGGGTGGGTAGGTGGTGGATTGGTGTCGACGGGTCGCTGGACAGATCTGATGGGGTCGTACATGCTCGTTGAGCGCGGAGTGGAGGGTTGAGGAGGAGGAAAAGGAGGTGCTGGAGCTGGAGCTGGAGCTGGAGCTGGAGCCGAGCCCGGAGCCGGAGCCTGGGCTCGTGGGTTACTAACGGGTCTCGAATAGTCAGGTATGTATTCCCGGATCTGATGGGGAGGCGTGAGAGAACGCATCGGTGGTTTGTGCATCGTGAGACCGGATTGGGTAAACTTGACGGCTTCATCTCGGCGGCCCTCGGCGGGTTTTGGAGGGGAGAAGGAAACTGGTTGAATCAAAGTGGATGTCTGCAGACTCGAACTCTGACGGGTGATGAAAACAGTGCTGTTTTGTTCTACCGGCTCTGTTGTAGTCTTCTTGCGTGAGCCTGTACTTGTAGTCGCAGTCGCGGTTCCTCGGGGCTTGCGAGAAATTCGTTGCCTCTTCTCTTCAGGTGTGTCGGTGTCTCGCTTCTTTCGGGGTCTCCTGACGGGCTGCGCTGGAGCGACAGAGCCATGGTCTTGGCGTGTGCCTGCAGCTGTGGCTAGTGATGCTCCTGAACCTGCACCTGGACCGCCTTGCGTCTGTCGGCCAGCGAAGCTGTCTGCAACACCAAGGTTGCCTGCTGCGCCCATGTCGCGATGCGCAGAGACGTAGTTCAGAGGACCAGGAGTACTCTCGGCATCGCTCGGTGGTGCGCTGGACAGATCGTTGGAGGAACTCCTGGTGTCATGGACTTCCATTTTCAGCTTTTAGCCGCCACAACTTAGTGGGCAGTCTAAATCGCAGTCTCACAGGCAAGCCATGGACAGAAGCCGAAGACCGATGTGCAGCGGGAAGGAGATAGGAGAGGCGTTGAAGTCGACGCAGGAAATACCAAACCGATGGATTGGTGAGACGGACGACGGTGATTGGCAAATGGGTGAACAATTGGGGTTGGTGACTCGGGATGTTATACAAAGAGACAATTGAAGAACGGAGTTGGAGTGGGTGGTGACGGATATGAATTTCCTGCACGGCCTCAAAGGGTTGTGAAAACACGGGCTGCAACGGGAAATAAGTGGTAAAGGCGGCTATGGCTAGCGGCGAGGATTTGCAATGGTGGACGCGCGGATGGAGTAGACTGGAGAACATGGAACATCAAAATTAGAGAAATGGTAATGTAGCATGCAGCACGGCAGAGGAGGAGAGGGAAGAGAAAAAAAGGTCGAGGAAGGAAAGGCACAGAAGTGGGAAGACAAGGAGATATAAGTATGAAGCCAAGCACAACAGCTAACAGCTAACAGCTACCCAGGACTCTTGACAAAGGGTAGGTAAGAATGGGACGAGGGCGGAGGGGGATGATGGGATGGAGGGATGGGGAGCGAGATGCGAATGGAAGGCAACAAAAGCCAGAACCAGACCAGCTGCGACAAACAGGCAGATGGTCAGAAGGGCAGAGTGGATGGCAAACGTAAAATCACCAGGCGCATCAGGAAGACAAAACCAGGGTGGGAACTACAACACGAGGGAGAAGAGGGAAGCAGGGAGGCTACGAGGTAGAGCTGGAGAGAGAAAAGAGAACAGCACATGCGGAAAGACGAAGGGAAACGCTGAGGTCTGGTGAGGCGTGAGGCGTGAGGCGTGCAGCGCAAATCAATGGGCGAAATAGTGTAAAGGCGATCCAAGATGTTCGATGGTGGAGAGTGTTTGGGTTTGAGTCTGGGTCTGGTTCCTGGATAACGCAAGAAAGCGAACAAGCAAGCTTTCAAAAAAAAAAAAAAGCAGAACAAAAATAAAAGACAAAAGACAGATACATGGGGTTCAAATGACAGGCTGCGACAGGCAAGGCGCAAGGGGCATTTAGTGAGGCGCGAGGGCGATAGGCGATAACGACATGTCTGACAGCCCCATTTTACAGAGTCATCCGGAGTCCCGCCTCAGTTGCTCTCCTTTTCGGTTTCATTTTGGTCGATTTCACCTTCCTCCTCAAACACTCGGCTGCTCCCCAGAAGATTACGAGACCCAAGCTCCTAGGCAACCCCAAAGCCATCAACAGCAGCCCACACAACCACAGCCATCCCCTCTTTCTTCGCGCATCATCTCCCAGGGGTGTCTCGTT